GGTTGCGCCTTGTGTTGGGATTTTAAAATTATTGCAGGTGCCATTGATGGTACGGTATTTGGAATGGAAACACATGTCCTGACATGTCACTGGGGACTTCTGACAACCTGACATGTTTAGCAGCATTTCAACTACATCCGGGGTTACTTCTGGACCTGAGAATTGATAATAACATTTGAATTGTTACATATGCCATGTATTCTACGTTATGTTTATTCCAATGAGTGGTGAACATGCATACTGTGTTGTTTTTAAATTAAGAAGTGATATACTATGTTGTTTCAAACCAATGAGTGGTAACCATGCATACTATATTGTTTTTGAATCAATGAGAGGTGGACATTCATACTATGTTGTTTTTGAATCAATGAGTGGTAAACATGCATACTATGTTGTTTTTGAATCAATGAGTGGTAAACATGCATACTATGCTGTTTTGTAATCAATGAGTGGTGAACAGGCATACTATGTTGTTTTTGAATCAATGAGTGGTAACCATGCATACTATGTTGTTTTTGAATCAATGAGTGGTAAACGTTCATACTATGTTGTTTTTGAATCAATGAGTGGTAAACATGCATACTATGTTGTTTTGTAATCAATGAGTGGTGAACATGCATACTATGTCATTTTGAATCAACGAGTGGTGCACATGCATACTGTGTTGTTTCTGAATCAATGAGTGATGAACATACATACTATGTTGTTTTTGAATCAATGAGTGGTGAACATGCTCATTATGTTGTTTTTGAATCAATGAGTGGTGAATATGCATACTATTTGTTTGAATCAATGAGTGCCGAACATGCATACTATGTTGTTTTGAATCAATGAGTGGTAAACATGCACACTATGTTGTTTCGTAATCAATGGTATGATGTTGTCGAATCAATGAGTGGTGAACATGCATACTATGTTGTTTTCAAATCAATGAGTGGTGGACATGCATACTATGTTGTTTTTGAATCAATGTGTGGTAAACATGCTACTATTTTGTTCTTGAATCAATGAGTGGTGAACATGCATGCTATGTTGTTTTTGAATCAATGAGCGGTGAACATGCGTACTATATTGTTTTTGAATCAATGAGTGGTTAACATGCATACTATGTTGTTTTTGAATCAATGAGTGGTGAACATGCATACTATGTTCTTTTTAATCCAATGAATGGTGAACATGCATGCTATGTTGTTTTTGAATAAATGAGTGGTGAACATGCATACTATGTTGTTTTGAATCAATGAGTGGTGAACATTCATACTATGTTGTTTTTAATCAATGAGTGGTGAACATGCATACTATGTTGTTTTTGAATCAATGAGTGGTGAACATGCATACTGTGTTGTTTTTAAATCAATGAGTGGCGAACATGCATATTATATTTTTTTACATCAATGAGTGGCGAACATGAATGTTTAGTTGTATTTGAATCAATGAGTGGTGAACATGCATACTATGTTTTTTAAACCAATGAGTGGTGAGCAGACATACAATGTTGTTTTTGAATCAATGAGTGGTTAACATGTATACTATGTTGTTTTTGAATCAATGACTGGTGAACATGCTTACTGTGTTGTTTTTTGAATCAAAGAGTGGTGAACATGCTCATTGTGTTGTTTTTAAATCAATGAGTGGTGAACAGACATACTATGTTGTTTTAAATAAATGAGTGGTGAACATGCATACTGTGTTGTTTTTAAATCAATGAGTGGTGAACATGCATACTATGTTTTTTAAACCAATGAGTGGTGAGCAGGCATACAGTGTTGTTTTTGAATCAATGAGTGGTTAACATGTATACTATGTTGTTTTTGAATCAATGAGTAGTGAACATGCATACTATGTTGTTTTGAGGAACATGTATTGGGTGTTATTTTTAATTCTATGAGTGACGAATGTGTATTCCATGTTTTTTAATTCAATGAATGGTGAACATGCATTTTATATTTCGTAAATGAATAGTAAGAAACGTATTTATGTTTGAATTTGTTGTTTTACCCTGCATATGGTCTTTTATAATCTCAAGTGATGTTTCAAAGACTTCCTCACAGGTGGTTGCTTTTACTGTTGCCACTGATGGAAATCTGAATAACCTCAATAATTGGGCAGGACTTTTGGGTTTTGGGTTTTTCTTAATAGCTTCAACGCTTTTATGTATAGCAAGATCAACATCATTAACAGCCTCTTGAAAGCATGACAGTAATACAGGATCGTCAGCGATGCCACCATAAACAGCAGCTGTAAATTGAATATAATACTTGTTTGCGTTTTTTTCTTTACAAGAATGAAGATTAATCATTCAGTCAGCTTACATTAACTTTTGTAAATTAGGTAAATTCTGTTTGAAGCCTGTGTACATATGTTCTCTCTTTTCACACTCATAACAAATCATTCTGACATTAATAGACCCTTATTCGTAGAATGACCGCCATGATCTCGTTGAAAGCAAGAGACTCGAGGGATTAGCTTTGTTCTTCAAATAGTGCAGCATTTGTTAAAGCCTCCGCCTCTAACATATTTGGGGGAGGGTTCAGTAGTGTGGTTCTCGTACTCTCGTGAGATCTTGGCGGCCATTTGTACAGATAAAGCTCAGGAAAATAGAATTTGATCTCACCAAGAGTACACAAGATCCATGACACACACAGGAAGGTGCCTACGGACTGACACATTATGTCTGAAAAAATAAATATTGGTCGTTTATTATTTAACTACGTCAATCTCTTTGATATAGAATTGAACATCTGAAACACAATGAATACGCCATGTGTCATGCATACAAATGTTATAATTCACAAAAGTAACAATATATAGTTTCAGCAAGACCATTCTGGTTTACCACATATCAATAATAACATGAGTGTTTAGTTTCTGTGTTCCGAGATATGTGAATGTCGTGTCTCGCTTATAATATTATATCTGTCGTTGTTAAATACACGATATATCACGTTTTGTTGTGTTTAAAAGTAGACCCACTTTGCAAGTATGTAAAACATCACTCAGTAAAGCAGCAACCAAGCAACTCAAAACGAGTCGATTACTATCCAGCAATCTGCGTATTGTTCATGATAGAATATTCTATTGGCATACACACTGATACCGAATGCTAGACTAAAAAATGTGAAAATGAATACCTCTTTTATATCAGTTAGTAATCTAACTTTGTGTCTCGGGGAATTGTGTATGCATGATTAATTAGGCCACATGTCAGGTCAAATTGTTTCGTTTGAGAGTTGTATGTATTTTGTGTGTACATGATGAATACAGATTAACGATTATCTGTATTTGGTTTTAACAAAACCCTTCAATGAATAATGTGTTATGCAAATGCTTTATAACGTTATATATATAATGAACAATTAAAGTACAGGTCAAGTTTTGTTCAACAGTTGTGAATATTTTACTTTTATGATCCTTGTTACACGGAACACAGTTTATTAAATATTACGCATATGTGAATACGTTCATGTAATATACGATTGAAAATGAATATATTCTGTAAAAGTAACTTAAGGTCGTTTCGTTTCTACGAATACAACAATTATGCACTACCAATGTAAATATATGACTAGCAAGAATCGAATTCAGAACATTAAAACATCAAAGGATATTTCATATGTTGCAGTAGTAAATCTCTACCTGGACCAATGACAATTGGATTATGTAGTACAATGGCGACATTTGATTATTGTTTCTTAAAAAAAGTGCAATAGATGTGAAATAATTGTAAATTTGAAAAAAAATATGAAGACCCCAACTGAATTTATTTAACTTTACTAAAAGCAAAAATATTGGCATGCTTATATTTTCGCGATCATCTAGGCGTCCATCTTCGATTTACAAAAAAACGCAATTTATGCTAAGTTGGCATCATTGAGATTCTGGTAAAGAACATACTAAAGTTGAGTAAACTGCTCAAAGGCTTTCATTTTGGCTTCAGGGACCTGCCACCGACAGTGTTATTTCCCACTTTTTGCTTTGAATAAAATTCTATTTCTCTGTTTCAGTCATCGGTATATACTGTTTCAATATAAATCCTTGCCCGAGGCCAAAAGAAAAGAAGTGACGATTTTGAGGTTGTACGCTACTAAAGTCCTTGGGGGAACAGCAACATCGTTGTGAAAGACATTTTAAGGAAGTTGGTCGTAATTAAGGAAAGTTATTGTAATTAGAACACACTTGTGATGATGATACAAAAATCACATGCTCCACGCTTCTGATTTCATTTGGTCGCAATTAACCACTGATTGTTAATTCTGTAATTGTCGTTCTAAAGTAGTGACCCCAGTTTAGAAAAAAACACAACAAAAACATACTCCACCTGTTATTAATAATAGTCGGTGTTTATCAATTCTGTATGTGTAAAATGAAATTAATCGCATATAAAATTGGACATACTAGGATTGCATTTAGCAACAGAGCAAAGTAGAGACTTTTAAGACAAATCACCAGGGACGTTAGTGGTCGATCGATATATTTCCCAGGTACTACCAATTGTTAGTCATTCAGTTGAAGGTTAAGAAGATTAACTATTGACCTAGAGTCGGTGGTGATGTTTTGGGATATTGTTGATTGTATGATACACGTCAACACCATAAACTAGAGTTAATCTAGTTAGTTCTAAAACGTTAATAAATAAGTAATGTCATATGTATAATATAGACATTGTTAATTATGATATGGGCATTCAGAAGCACTGAGTTGTTAGTATGTGTAGGTTTGTATGTTCCCTATTTAACATATCTAGTGACCACGATTTATGCATTTTCTTCAGCACATGAAAATATCAACACACACACACACACACACAACAATGTATTTTATTCTGCCAACATGACAGAGAACTGTAATTGGTTATGGTAGTATTTTACTCTTTTATTATGCATATACAATTTGAATTTAAATGAATTTATTACATATAGACAAATTACCCAACATTTTTGACAGACATTTTTATCTCAATAAATTAAAGAGTATGAAATAGAGTCAGTAGTTTTAAAGGGTTAGCATACGTTTAATGTGCTTTTTTTCAATATTTTTTTTTTGAATTTTAAATTATTGATGGTTATGACAGTATCTATGACTGTGCTTTTATTCTAAACAAAACTCCTCTTTATAAGGCTTATTTCCACGTTTTTTTCTATTTCAAAACATTGCCACGTGTGATTGTTTATAAACACAACCAACACAAGCACAAGATTTGCATGAAAGTAATTCTAATTGACACTTGATGAAAGATCCGATTTGCATATCAATACTACAAAGTTTACGTAATTACGGTACTCATTTCGACCAGCCTTCCGCTTTTACATCGACAGCTTGTCCGACCGGAAACCGACCGCATTTTAATCGCTCTTGTTTCGCTTGCTCGCTCATTGAAAACACTGACCGCTCGCCTAAACACTGATCACACATGAGTAATCGAAATGGTGGTTTTCAAAATATAATAGTTGCATGACACTTGTATCGTCAAAACAACTCCACTGGAACCTCTTAAGCTAGTTACGTGTTTTTGCTGCTTGTTCTAAATGTAATATTTTATTTTAATGAGAGAGTTACGTGAAAAAAGCATAGTTAACTTCTTCCGACATTGCAGAGAAACGAGGAAAATGTTAATGATTAATTCCAAAAATAACGATACCAAAACCACGTCGGTCCAATTGCTTATTTTTATATACAGACATGTTGTTTTTACTCAAGTATTAACGTTCAAACATTTGAAGTAGGGTTACATAAAAACAAATTATAGTTGCCAAAAAACGAAAAAAATTGTACTTGAAACACTCCTCTATAATATTTACATAACAAATATATTCAATCGTGTTGCAAATTAATTATTAATTGCGTCATTAAGGTTTTTTCCATTTTCGCTCATTCTTGTGATCACGTGACTTGGTATTTGCATAAATTAAAAAAAATGGCATATTTTCAAAGTTTGAAACAAGATCTTTATTATGGTATATAACATGTATGGATAAAATGTATGTTTCATTCTGTGCACTATAGCCAAACAATTGAACCAGCAAACGTATGCTAAGCCAAACACATATGGCGGGTGTAAACATGCAGTTAAACCATACAATAACACGTAATTTGAAAATATGTTACCACATAATAATACAACCAATCTATGGGAAACGTGTGCGTATTGGTTAGAATTGTATTATTCGAAGGTATGCATGTATGGATTAAATATATGATTCAGTAGCCAGACGTCCCACTGTTCTCTATATAACAAGTGCAAAAAATAAGTACTTCCCCAAAGTCGGTCAAACTAAACAATTTTACATTCTGGAAATTTTAAATATTATCGTGTAGCTTCTTATCAATTGTCTCAACTGCCACAAATCTTCACGTCACTATTGTTTAATAGAAGGACAAGGAAAGAAATGTATTGGAGAATATCAGTCGAGCTCAATATTCAATTGAACATTCCCGTCTGATAGGTATGCGTCTGTTTTCTTAAGAGCCAAACAAAGAAACAAGACCATGATGCTGTTAAAATGTACATTTCATGACGTTTATTCATTACTATATATTTACCGTCAATTCTCTAGCGTCCTCGGTCTGTTTCTATGCTTCGCTTCCGAAAATAGTCTCCAATACACATGCTATACGATTCGTCGGCGCTCCGAAATTCGACGTGGCGCGTTGATTGGTCGACATTTTAAGTTTGTTATTCACCTATTTGCATAAGTATGGAAGTATCAAAGTTTCAATCGGCGCCATCGCTAATTTATAACCCTGGCTCTTATTAACGACACAATTAAAGGGCCACCTTTCAGTTAAGCCTAATCTCACAACAAATTTACTTTCTGGATTAAAATAACAATGGATAACAAAAGATAGATTAACATTGTAAACAACATAAACGATAGTGTCCCATGATCCATGGGATTGAGCGGTTCCCCTTTAAGTGAACAAAGATTTTTATTAACACTGAAAACATACTCCCATCCACTTAAAGGGGCTTTACAGTACCCAATTACACATGTTTGAGGCATAGAAAGGTGAGACTATCATGTTATTCTTTGTTATTTGCGGGGGTTATTTGATTTGACAACGTAGATAAAGATTGGGTGCAGGATCAAAATGTCACCCTTTATGAAGGAATTGCTCCGTACTTCATGGTCCATAACGGGCTTTAAAGAGTGATTATCATTCTAGGATTTCAACCTGGTATTTTATGACTGTTACAGTCTCAATATTAGGCCTACAGTATGTCTCAAATCATAGACACAATAACGGTAAGTCGCATAATAGTAGAACTAACCACCAAAGCCAAATTGCCCACTGAGGGGGGGGGGGTCACCCTATATTAAAACCTTACATCATATGCATTCTTGTTAACAGTGCTTTGGGAAAGCATACCCCCTATTACGGACGCAATGTAAATTTAGTACCCCCTAGAGCAGAAATATTGAAGAAAAACACCCACTATTGCAGACATATATTGAGAACATCCTATCCCCTGTTGCGAGCATTCTCTGCTATTTTTTGCACTCTAGATGAGTGTGATCAACACAAACAAGCTACTTATGGTTGCTGTGTATGCAACTGGTGTCATTCGTTGTTTTATGGGTCCGCCAATTCGGGGCCTGGGGCGGTGTATGGGAGTGTTTGTTGCAAGAGGGAGACTACAGCGGGCGCAGCAATCCCTTGTGTTTATTCATGTGGGCGTATTGCAGACATTAGCATTCATCTCCCGCGCGGGCCCGCTTTAGAAGGTGAAAAACACTGTCCTGTCCCGCTAAATTTGAAACGCACATGGGGTAGTAACGTCATATAGAGTGATCCCTCTTGGGAATACCTACATCGGTTGAGTAACTCCAGCCTAATGTCGTTCGATACATGTATTGATGACTTAGTATCGTGGTTGTTTCGGTTCAAATTGAATATATTTATGCAGGATATATATACAATAGTAGTCATCGGAATAAATTCTGAGTTCGTTTCGATAAAAACGGGTAAATTTGAATGGAGTCGCTATTTCGAAGTGTGCCTATTTGCTGCGATCGCGTCAAAATTATATTGCAACATTTTATCATTTTTTTTGCAAAAAAGTACCAACACCAAACTCATACCCGACAAGAAAACATCCGATCACCGATAAAGTTGTCAGTAAATTATATTTTATTCAAACAAAGAAAATATTACGGTTTCAAGGTTATCAATCTACCGACCAAATTATTCAAGTAGGGTGACCTTCGGTACTGACTGCATGTCTTACACGATTGCGTGTAAAAGTAAAAGTCACGTACGACAACCGATGCGCCTCACAATATGGCATTTCATAGAACCATTTTTTTTACAATTCAATCACATTTTTACAATTCATTTTCATTTTATAATCATTTTTTAATAACCATTTTCGGTTCTGAAATAGATTTTCAAACCCACTTTCGTTTTTGAGAATTGTTTTTATTTAAAAAATAGATTTTCAAAAAAAAAATGGATTTAAACAATTGTACTGGAGTCTATTTTCGGTAGCGAAGCAGAGAAACAGGCGGAGGATGCTTGGACAAATAATTCAAGATAATTCACTAGTTTCTGAAATATAAGAAAGTAGGAGACGTGGGTCTTGTAAAAAGAGACATAATCTTCACGTTTATATTTTCAGTAAATTTGGTGTAGCAGACATATTACCATATTTACTAACAAATTCAAAGTGAAAATTCAAGAAAATTCACTACAGTTTCTGAAATATAAACAAAAATTTGGTGTAGTAGATTTTATATTCGCCGGTTTGTGTTGAAAACAGAACATTCATGCATAACGTTGCATATACACTGTTTGTTTATATAACACATTTAACTATAATCAACAAAGCGACACTAAAACCCAATAATTAGTTAAGCATTATACAATAACCAATCTGGATACGACCAGCACATGTTTTAATTCTTAGTATTGAGTATTGTCTTGAAGTACCAGAACAACAGGGTGCTATAACTATGAAATTGTGAGAGTGTAAGAAAGTATCTTTTTCATGACACGTGCATTTAACTGCACGCTGGATGTCCAGTTTTAAATATAATCAAGACGATATTCCAAGTAAATTGATGTTTATCGATTGATACGATGAAGGGCGCTACATATTGATACCTGGTGAGTAAATATTACATAGAATGTGGTGGTGAACATGTAGGAAGTCGCTGAATTATATATCGTTGAAATGGACATGGAATTAACAGAATGAAGTGACGCTAAAAAAGGTTATGACGCTGTGAAATATATGGAGAGAATACAAAACGAACCTACCTACACGTTGCAAGAGTCTTCACAAATGTAATGGGTGTGTATTCACGAACATATATGAACACATTGGGTTTTGCAGGGGGTGTCACACCATTCAGGGGGAACCGCATTTCTACATAACGCATGACCGTATGTCCCAGTTGTTGTTCTAGTTTCAGTGCACCTACATTTAGAGAGAAGTATTCATCGATACGTCGATATTTCGATATTTGTGACAAGACACTGACGTGAATGTGTGGCGTTGGGATGTACAGCATTTAACCACGTAGTTAGATATTTTATTCAAATCCATACTATGTAAATAAACCCCAAACGCAGGATTTTAAAATGCGAGAACTGTGAACACGATACAACTAAAACCAAATGGGTTTGTAGAGAACTCCCATGCTCAAAATGTGTTAACATTTAAAATGATCTTGTGATGTTACTGATGTAGATATATATATATATATATATATATATATATCATCTGCGCAGATGTGACACAGTGTGAACACGAACGCGTGTGTAGATTGCAACCACCGATGTTGTTGTTTAGTGTAAGGGCTATTTTAAACAACATGCTTATATGTTTTAGATTTGGATTACGCTGTCTGTCTATTCAGCTGATACATTGTCATTGTGTATTGTATTGTATTGTATTGTATGGGTTGGCATTATTGTGAGATTTCAATATAAGCGTTTTCGACCTCACATCCAGCACATATACGACATGTATGGCACATATCTCGTGGCTAGACGCAAGGTACACCTGTTTTCTACTTTAAATTAAATATTACATTAAAAAAATCAAGTCCTGTAATAACGTATGAGTAGTGAAAGCTGATTTTGTTCAAAAACAAGTCACAAATGTCGTTTAAACAATTAATGTCATCACAGCACGAGCACATTTGATACAGGTCAAGTATCAAAACAATCGTGTTGGTAGCTTTACAAACAAATGCTTAAAATGAAGAATTAATGATATCATCCCGAGATTAACAAATCTGATAGCGATCCATCCGTGATCGAGCTATTAGTTTCCTAGAAAAAGTAGAAAATATAATTTTGACTGAAAAATTACAAAAATATATGCTGCAAACTGTCCATGATAGAGTATTAAGTATAAATAAATAAAAATAAATATAGCTTCAAGCATCAAAGATTGCAACGGACAGAAACAACTATGTAAATATACAGACACGGTGGGATATTGGTAAAGATTTACGTGATACCAAACGAATTCTACCAAACATTTTGGCATATCACGGTGACCTGTGCGATGTATTTACTGCTGCCACAAATGAAATGTCTATCCTGTTGTTGTCACTCTTCTTCCAAAAGAGGAATGCTGTTGGCCGGTCTGTTATGTAGCGATTAAAAAATCTTCAGTACCACGCTTGCATTGCGTCTCTGCAGAGTCATTGAGAGAATTGTTCACCCAGACCAAACTTGCAGTTTGCCAACCATACATATTCATGACAACATAAATGTTATTCATGGCAGTATTGACTATACCAACCAACAAATAAAAAATGCATTTGATTGGATACATAACGGATATCTCTTTAATAGACTTTATTTCTTACATTCGTCTCACATATGTCCAGTTTCAGGTCCGCATTAATTGCACAAAACACTAAAATCAATCTTCAAAAACAGGAAGGGTTATGAGTAGGTAGCTGACGTAATAACACTTACTCTACTCGCTAGGGGTTGACAATTTTGGCTGTTTATCTTGGGAATAACGTATCTTTTACTGATCAAAACTGGAATGAACTTGTGGCAAACGTTATTAAAAAGATGTCATTCCAACGAGTAAAAGCTCGTTTGAGCAATTTAGATACACCTCTACACATACTTTATGACCGTTCATCAAATGCGAATTTGATGAAATGAAACACGAGGATAAGTGAGTTCACTTTACCTCACGATATTATAATGAAATTATTTTGCAATTGCGTATCTGTTGATCGATTTAATTAGCTGATTACTAACGAATGGCTGTGTTATGTCTGGCACCGTTTAGGCCATGTGAAGTTCAGGACGGAACTCGACTTAGTGATTTGGAACTAATTACGAGATAACCGTCGCTATTCGGACTACTATTTCTGACAATTAGTATTCGTAGTTATTAATATAGTGAATGATTAATCAAATGATATGACGTGTTCAGTACTTAGTGTGATTGGCTTTATGATTGAAGGTTACGAGTCTTTTAACTGTTTTGTAATTGGTTAAGGTTTTGAAAATGAATAAAGTTGTTTTAGTTGGTCTTGGCGAGTACACCAGAAAAGAGGCAGTCCGGTCTTGAGACGCAGTGCAGTCCTGGAGAGTCTTGGGGTGAGTCTTGAGACGCAGTCTTGGGTCAGCCTTGCGATAGTCTTGGGGACTTTTCCCCAGGGCGCTGTGTCTTATAGAGTGCTCGACTGACCGACTAAGACCAGAGTTGAAACGTATTTCGTTGCGTGTGTCTTATTTGACTGTAAAGTTTAAGTGACTTTCCCGATCCCGTACCTCAATGGGACGCGATAGAGAGACGAGACGCTATTCCCCCCTGGCAAGTGTGGAGAACCCCAGAGAGAAGATTTTCACCCTGATAATATTAATAAACAGTGATTAGTAGAGGGATGTAGATATAAAACAAATAAATATCACCAGTATTATATACTGTGTGTAATAGGATCACCTTCGACCAGCCAGAGATCAACGCAGAAAACACAACAACCCAGTCTCCCGGCCGGTCAGCGAACTATTGACCTTTTTATAGTGTACTTATTTCTTTATCTGACCGCATTTTGGAAACAACAAAGGATGCGGATGAAGTGATTTTAAAGTGAACGAACATATCATACATTGATTTTGGTAGTAATAATAATGCGTACGGTGGCCTTACGATTATTTTAATGACTGTAGGTCAAGGCCTAGTGAACTATATTCAATTTTAATTAACATACATTTAATATGTGACAATTATTTGGGTTTAATTGTGAATATGATACCAGTTTATGAATATACTGTTGTGCAGGCTACACTTGTCTGTCATAAGTATCTGTACGTGCAAAATTGCAAGTGCCTAGGATGAATAGATTTTACCATGGGATATTACATCGGTGTTAGGGTGGATGGCTGGTGAAACGATGTAAAATTATTTCATTTGCATTTAGGCAAGTTTCTATTGTGAATAAATTGCACAATTTGATTGGCGATAGTGTGGCCATCCGTTTTTAATTAAACCACGTTATGTTACTCCCGCATACTAGATTATCAGTTTATAGCTTATAAAATTATGTTTCGGTCTTCCTCCATATCTGTTACTGTTGGCGTGCAACCAAATCGCATGTACATATTGTTGACGTGCTTGTATTTCAAATTATTTATCGTCGAGTGTATAATTAACCCGCTTCACTGACCACCTTTCGCACGTAACTCCATAACGAATTGTCAGAAAAAACAAAAACAAAAAAATGTGCCACGCCCCCTTCACTTGCTCCATTTCTCCAGTAAACGTGACACACATTGATGTGTTTGAAGTTGAAGAATTAATATCTAGAAAATAGTGTAATTACAAATTTGACAATTTAGGCTGACTTTAGAATAGTTTTACCAAGTGTAAATAATAATTTATTATTATGACAGATTTTTTATATTAAATATTGAGATTAGTTTAACAACAAATGATTTTCAAAGAAAATGTGCCAGGCCCCCTCCACATGCCCCATTTTTTTACAGTCAAAGACTTCATAGAAAATAGTGTCATTACAAATTTGACAATTTAGGCTAACTTTGGAATAGTTTTACCAAGTGTAAATAATAATTTATTATTATGACAGATTTTTTATATTAAATATTGAGTTTGCATGTGACGAGTGATACCTGGCTTGATTTTATATACAAC